ATTACTGGTCTGTAAAATTCTTTTCTCGTTGTATTGATAATTTTTCGCTGTTTCATTCATATTCCGGAATTTACACGCAACCACGGTTTATGAGAACACATGCAACGGTGTTATTTTATTTAAAGTGTCATGGGCAATATTCGTCTGATCTACCATGGTTGGACACAGTGTGGAAGTTATGTTCATGTCGTGGTGGTATAATCCTAGGTATAATCATAACCATAGTCACGGTCAGCCAGCAATAAATGTATCCACAATCTGTGAATAGTTCTGTTACCCGGTAAATATTTCCATGTCCTTACGAAGCTATGACATGGCACACTTTACAAAAACTGTAGAAAAACTGCCGGAATTATTAAGTGATTAATTCGGGATAAATTGGGTTGAATTATTTATAAGGATTACCTTGGTTTCCTGTCGACTTCCATCAATTGTTCACCCTCACTCATTTGAGTTGTAACAATTTCAGACCACTAACAGAACAGATTGGAAACGGCAATTGTTCTAATTGGATGCGTGCCACGGCAGAACTTGCCAGTAGTTTATTGGCACAAGCCTTCCCCAAGATTTCCGAACGTGTGTTCTTTTAGCGGTCAGAGTAACAATCAACCTTCCCGAAAACAGTTTCCTAAAGTGTCTCTATAACGTTCACACAACGCCGATGTTTGCTACCAAATCAACTGACAACCTAAAACAAAATGTCGCCTTTTCTGATTGCAATTGTAAAATTTGGCCAGTGCGGATGATGTGCTTCTATTTCTTTCCTGTCTTGTTTATTTTATGGTTTGTGATATAACCTGTTTCAATTTTATGTATATGGTTTAATCTTATCAGTGATTTTTGCTCGGTTATATTAGCACCTTAGCACCCACTTCTATGTTTCCGCGGTTACGTAAAATAATTAATCGGTTGATTTTTAATCATTTACTTTTAATGTATTTAGATGCCATTAAATATTATTCTTACTTTAATTGTACATATGATGTCACTAAATGATAATTACATTAAATGTATGAATGCTGCAGTGAAACCATTTAGAAATTAATGTTGGTTTGTGTCTAATCATTACTGTGGTCGCTGCTATCTACATGTTTGAACTATACACGAAGAAAATCGTTAATTTTAGGTATACATGTACCTCCCGTGATGACAGAATAGAAAAAAAAAAACAATCTGCACACGCAAATCGTACGAACAAATGATTTCTTACACTGTGAAAAAAAAAAAGTACAGCAAATTCGTCATAGGGGAAAATAGTACAATCAGGGGCGGACACAGGATGTTTTATGGGGGGGGGGGGTCCAAACTTTAAAATCGCCAGACTAAGTTAATGATTTTTTTTATATTATGCAAAAACAAATTGAATAAATTGTTCAACGGGGGGTCCGGACCCCAAAGACCCCCCCCCCCCTACATCCGCCACTGACAATACACAGTCCTTTTGCACAGTTCTGCTACCATGATCGTCTGAGTTTCTAATGGCCCGTCCCTAATATTGAATTGAGATAAAAAAATAACGAAAATTAAGTAATTAAGAAAAAAAATTGCTGAGACAGAGAATGGACACAACTGTGAAACAAAATAGCAATGACGTCTCTTTTCATAACGTCATACCTTTGGAGAAACTAGTTTCCAACAAACACACACATTCTTGTTTTTAAAATGGCGACCTCCTGTGATTGAAGTATCTTTGGTCCCAGTCATAGTTAATTTCTGCACAGCGGAAACATTACTTGTGAAATACGGATACGTTGAACTAAGGTAATTATTTTCTGTTGTCGGGAATTCCGATAAGTGTTCACGCCATTTTTAATAGTGTGTCATGTACCTAAGATACAGTGTGTGTTTACATTCACAACCGCGTTGCAACGGGTCCTACTAATTACTGCCCGGGCGAAAATAATCACTTATATACTGTTATAAAGATATATTATAATAGCAAGGACCGTGAATGTCACTAACAACAAAAATAATAGGAGATAAGACTTTGTACAATGGTACTTTAGCTTCGATCGCATATAGTCATAATAAATAAACTGTCAATCACCGCAACATTGATTGGCCCACAGCTTCACTTATACGTATCGGCGATGTACCTGTGTACGGAGAATATTTTTGGAGTGAATTAAGAAGGAACATTCATTTGCCAGACATTATATTGTGTAACATTGCGTCAAAAAGTTAGCAGTGTAAAAAATATGTGTAATTTGGCCAAAACATCGTGTAACTTCAGCTTTCCGTGATTGACACTAGAACATACGTCCATTAATAACGGTATACTTTAGTTTTCTGTGATTGACACAAGAACATACGTCCATTAATAGCGGTATACTTTAGTTTTCTGTGATTGACACTAGAACAGACATCCATTAATAGCGATATACTTTAGTTTTACATCGCCACATGTACAAACAAAATGACACAATATGTGACCATATGGATATCATGTATTTATAGAAATATTTTCGTTTTTGTACTTAGTACAATAAAACGTGACAATAGCAGCATTTTATGTTACTGTGTACGATAGGACTACTGCGTCCACGATAAGTTTTACCCCAGATGTTTTACAAATTGATAAATTGTATCTCATGTTTGGTTCCTCTTTACACATGTACATGTATCACCTGTTCTTAATGTGACAGCCACAGAATTATCATGGCGTAGCGTTGACCTGCCGCAGAAGGGATAGGTCTATACTCTTGTGTATTATGTTAAATCTGTGTCTTCAAAGTTTATTTTATATACAGTCATAATCTGTGTCTTTATTTTATATACAGTTACGTGACATTTTACGATAGGTACATTGTACTATGTTAAAATGATTTCAACCAGTTAAGTTAATAATAATTTAAAAAAATATTGGATTCAATCAGTTTTTAATTCTCAAAACTAATGTGAGAAACCTTGATATTTATGTCATCTGCCATAATCTGTAACAAAATATAAGAAACAAATACATTATATGTTATGATACAATAAACACGATGAATAAATACATTAACTGTATGCTTCACACCCCACCAGAATAATGGTACGGTCAAAATGGACTTTGTGAATGTGTGAGTATGAATTCTACATGGCCATAAAAAACACAGAAAAAGACGCAAACATTGAGGAAATTAGTATAGTAGCTGCTAAAACTGCAGCAAATAGATCACTGCACAGTCAGTCAATAAATAGTGGCTGTATAAAGGCTCGGTGACTGTTGATCGTGAATGGCATTCAAAACAAGATGACAAAGGTAGTCTGCCTGTAACACTATCACTTACTTTAGGTTAGACCTGTGTACATGTCTGCTGTTGTGGCTGCTGGGGTGACGTAGTGGCTGGAACAACCGATATGTACACCGAGCTAGCTTTAGGTGTATCATGTAGCGGGCAATGCGAGTGAGCACAGTTGAATAGTTTGATTTATACTGGCGTAACAGAGCGCGTGGTCTGTGTACAGTTATTAGTTCATGTGTGAGTTGAAGAGTTGAGCGGATTTCACGATGGTTTCATGTATCCTGGCAGCCAGTTCCTATAGGACTATTCTATAGGAATCCTGAACGATAACTACCGGTAGTTCCTAATTATAAGCCATGTCCTACTGTCTTGTATGACTGGGATCATTTGAGTATACCGGTAGATACAGTAGGACATACAAGTTGTATAAAATTTATTTTATTTTATTTGTTATATGCAATGAAATGAGTTGTTTATTTACTAAAAATATAACCATGAAGTTTCCGTAAACTGTAGTGTGGGTGTTGAGTTATCAATTCATGCAGCAGTTGAACACGATTTATGATGGTGCCACACATTCTTGTGTGTTCACTGTTCAAAATAGCTCAAAAAAAACAAAAACATTCAAAGTTGAATTATTTTCAGTCCATTTCCAGACGATTGCCTTATCATGATGCAAATCTTTTTCACTCACTTAATAAAAGCTCATTTTGCACATTTGCAGCTCAACCTAACGTCACTAAGGTACACACATGGTGTAATGCTAATAAATTAACAATCAATTCTAACAAGACTAATTACATGCTATTTTCCTCAGCTCAAAATAAATCAATCTAGAACTGCAAATGAATGATACATTGTAGTATTGTACAGGAGTCAAAACTACCAAATATTTAGGGTTAATAATTGATACCTGGTAATCACATTACCTGCAAATCTCACATTACACATGTACTGAATAAAATTTCCCCTTAATTGGTTTGATTGCGAAACTTCAGCCTTCACTTCCCAAATATATCCCAATATATCTTATGGCTTAGAAGTACACTTATCATTCCTCTCTTAATCCTATCTTCATCCTCCAAAATAAATTGTTCACCTCATCTCATTCAAAGATAAATTCACTCACTGTCATCCTCTTTTTCATTCTCTTGGTATTTTAGATTTTACACCCAATTTAAATATCAAATCTGTACTTTTATTCATGATCTTTATTGTCACAGACTACCACGTAGTTTAGATAATTATTTTACTATTCCTGAACATTCATATTGCACCAGGTCAACCACAAATTTACATTTTTGAAAAGAACAACACTTGGACAATTTTCATTAGATTACCCGGGAACCAAGTTGTGGAATAACTTACCCCACTCCTTGAAAACTGTAACAAATAAGACAAAGTTCAGGAAAGAATTAAAAATGTTTTTGTCACAGTTGTCCCCCAAGATTGATTATACTGATTGGTGGTTTGACTAGTTAATTCATTAGTTAATCTAATTGCTTGATTGATTGGTTGGTTAATTGATTGATTGGTTAGTTTATTTATTTATTTAAAATCCTAACAAATGCCTTGACTAGCTCTTCTATAGCTAACTGCTGTTTCCCAGCCATGTATATATGTATGTTGAAATACTGCTATATAGTCACTCATTTAGCTGTTTGTTTATTTATGTATTTATTATTTGTATAAGCAATCACTTTTATTTGCCCAATTTATTTATATACTTCTGTTAATTTTCTCTGTTACTGCATTATATGGCAATAAATTATTATTAAATTAAAAAAACAGCTTTCTTACTTCACATAATTTGTTCAACAAAATGGCATCGCCATAGACTATTTTCCATCTCTCAGGGTACTGTAAATGCATTAATTATTTGCTAGTTTTTAATTCCATTATTTTGGCTGATAAGTAAAATCTGCTTAATTAAATCCATGTGAACACGTAGAATAACAATAGAAGTCGTTGTTTCTCTGGTATGTCTGTGAACTTAAAACCCAGTGAAATTTATTAAAGCAAAGAAATAGTGGAATTAAATGCCAGTGAAAATAAATGGTTTTACAGTATATAGATTTCTTCCATACTTTCCCCTATATATACACATATTATCTTCCATACTTTCCCCTATATATACACATATTATCTTCCTTACTTTCCCCTATATATACACATATTATCTTCCATACTTTCCCCTATATATACACATATTATCTTCCATACTTTCCCCTATATATACACATATTATCTTCCATACTTTCCCCTATATATACACATATTATCTTCCTTACTTTCCCCTATATATACACATATTATCTTCCATACTTTCCCCTATATATACACATATTATCTTCCATACTTTCCCCTATATATACACATATTATCTTCCATACTTTCCCCTATATATACACATATTATCTTCCATACTTTCCCCTATATATACACATATTATCTTCCATACTTTCCCCTATACATATTATCTTCAAAACTTGCTTTACAATCAGTCTTTGGCCATTCTCACTGAAAACATTAACAATTCCAAAATATACCAAAAAGAATCCAATATTTTTATAGGAATACTAAAAAAACTAGAAGAATCCATCAGTGTTCTTATAGGAGTAATAAAGACTCCTATCTTATCCTTATAGGAATACGAAATGAATTTAATTGTATTTTATAGGAATAATTGAAGAATGAAGTTAGTATATTTAATCTTATAGAAGCACTGAAAGAGTCTGCTGTAATACCAAAAAAAGTTGAAAATCACAGAGCACTGTGAATCACTTGCATACATGTATAACTATAAACAAAATATACGTATATATACATATACATATATATATATATATATATATATATATATATATATATATATATATATATATATATATATATATATATACACTGTATATATATATATATATATAACAATTTAATTAATATGTTAATTTGCGTTAATTAAGTTTATAATGTATGCTCGTTGGTGCAGTGAATTATTAAACATAAAGCTCTTGATGAGTGAGGTATTTGAACTTACGAAACAGTGCTGTCGAGTTTTAATATTCATGTAGTTGTGTCTTAATTCCTCTATTACCGTACATATACTTTGTATTGAGCACTTTTGTTTTGGAATAATCGACTCTCGTATCTACACTACATGTATCAAGCAACTGTCCAAACAAACAACTCTACAACTCTACAACTTGATATTATTTGTTCATTGCAGGTAGTATGGCCTCTCTACTAGGGAGTAAACTTTGTATTGAGAGTCTTAGTTCGGATGTAGCTGACTTGCAAGAAACTATCAATGAAGTCTTCTCAAGAGTTGGTCCCGTCAGATTTCCATCATGGAAGTTTCCTGATAAGGTAGACTTTAGGCATGATCATTGAATTAGGACATTGAAAACCTTTTTTCATTGTTTGTGTCATCAAACCATCATATAATTACCTTTTGAAATTTGGTAAAAACTGCTAAGACCAATAAAAATAATTATGATAATTTTCAGACTTAGAACTATGGACCCTTATAGATTGAATAAACTGTTTACATTATTTCCGATGATAACCATTTGACACACTTGTCACTATCTTTTATTTTAGTTGTTATGTTTTATTTTTCTGTGATCTCTCACTCTATTCATATCTATCATTTGGAAAGAATACTTTGTCTGAAATGTCAGGTTATATTGAATAAATACCAAAACTATGATTACCTACTACAATTTTATATATATTACCGTATTCATCCGGGTAAGAGCTCAGGGTTCTGAATATAGAAAAAAAAATAGGGGTGGGCCTATGCCTAGACATCTCCTGCCCAAAAACAAAAATTCACGAAAAATTAACAACATGCACATTGAACTGCGGCAGGAAATAGGCAAATGAAACATGCAACAGACATAAATGAACAATATGCAACATTAGAAGTAAAACAAAAATAATTTATTGCTTTTATAATGTGACAAATAAAAATCGACAGTCAGAATCATTTGAATTAGGATTTCCCTACCAACAAAAATATGCGTGAATTCAAAATGAACCAAAATGTCAGCGGTTAAACTGCATAAAATTGTTTCCGGTTTCGACAAATTATGGATCGACTGTCATACAAGATCAATAATAATTTACACAGTAAAATTTACAAAAGTACATAGTTGTTTGAAAAAACTTCTGAGATCTTTATTTGTACGTTTATTGCCATCTTCATCAAAATCAAAACCCTCAAAGACCAAGTCGGCGTCACTGTCCAACAAAATGCCTACAGCTTCTTCATGAAGTTCATTGATGTCGTCATACACAATTTGGACTTAGCACTTTTAATCCACGAATTTAGCTGTCTGTCAGCTTGGCACTTTTAATTTAATATGTCTAATCACAATAAAGAGACAATAAATATTATCTTGAATCGTTTCTAAGAAAGCACAAACCAAAAAGGGCCACCACAGATTATAGGGGGAACTACTGTTTCTGCTTTAATATACATTTTTATAGACTTGCTGACTGTCATGATTCTGATAAAAAATCTTGAAAAATAAATTACGTGAACAGCGGTGATCACGCTGCCCTGAAGGCAGATCATGAAATTACCTTTGATATTTGATGTTAGTTTGAGTAGTGTTTCCTGTATGGTGTCCAGTTTTGTTACGCAGGGTGAGGCAAGCTTTGTTCCTCCTTGCAGAGATTAAGATCTCCCTGGCAAAGCTTTACAGTTTTCCTTGTTGTACCACAGTCGTCACACTTCATAGTCAGCGGAAATTGATTTTAGCTTGACAGTTCAACAGCATACAACTTATTGTTAGTCCCCGTTCGAACGCAGTCTGAAAACAGGGAATTAAGTTTTGACCTCCGTGTGTGCGTCCGTGCGTGTGTGCGTTCGATCCTGTGTCTTAGAAATGCTTGGACCAATCACAATCAAACTTCACACATACATCATACATGATATTATACATAGGCACGTCAATTAGTTTCACGATCTGATTTAAGATGGCTGAATGGTGGCCATTTTTGTGCTAAAAATCATCAAAATCAAACATTTCTCAGCTGTTTACAAATGGATTTTGTTCAACCCTTGTATATGCGTTGAACATTATAGGACCTTGTTGCACATCATTTTGTTTTCAGATAAAATTCAAAATGGCCGACTGGCAGCCATTTTGTTTTAATGAATGTGGTTCTTTTGCCATATCTCTGACTTGCTGTCACTGATTATGTTCAAATTTTAAATATTCATTATACATCATGTCATAGATAGACAGATATATTGGTTTGACGATCCTATTCGAAATGGCCAAATGGTGGCCATTTTTGTGCTAAAAAATCATCAAATCTCAAGCATTTCTGGCATTTATGGATGGAATTCCTTCAAACTTGGTACATATATTAGACATTACAGGTTTCTGATGCACATTATTTATTTTTCAGATCGGATTCAAAATGGCTGTCTGGCGGCCATTTTTTTAATGAATGGGCTTCTAGACCCATATCTCCGACTTTTTTTGACTGATTATGTTCAAATTTTAAATATTCATTATACATCATGTCATAGATAAACAGATATATTGGTTTGACGATCCTATTCAAAATGGCCGAATGGTGGTTATTTTTGTGCTAAAAAATCATCAAATATCAAGCATTTCTGGCATTTATGGATGGATTTCGTTCAAACTTGGTACATACATTAGACATTACGGATTTCTGATGCACATCATTTTATTTTTCAGATTGGATTTAAAATGGCTGACTGGCGGCCATTTTGTTTTAATGATTGGGCTTCTAGATATCTCTCAAATGCTTATCTCAAAATAAATATCTCTCAAATGCTTTGACTGATTATATTCAAATTTTATGTATTTATTATACATCATGTTATACATATATATACACATGTATTCAAAATGGCTGATTTTGAATGCTGTTCTAGAGCAATATCTCTCAATATGGACAAGTACTTGTTTGACGGCCAGATACAAATGTCAATCATTTTTATCATATTCCAGCTATATTACTATAAACAAAACTATATATCTTAAATTTGATAACTAACAGGGACTGTGCCATACATGGCTTGTTTTGTTTTATTTTGGTGCATTTTAAAATACGAACAGTGTCACTATTCAAAATTTGGAAGAATTGGAAGTACACACAGACTTGACTTTCGTGGTATCTGCATGCCCTCAGAACATACACGCAGATAACTATGCACACATTCGTGTTGTGGCTTCTGGGTGCCCACACAACTCACCCTCAGATACACTTTTGAGGCACCTGTAAATAAATGTAATTTTTGAGAAAATGGTGGTTGTATTTTAGAAGATAGTTACCATTTTGGCAGTATTGTAACACCATAGGTTCCTATGACAGAGATATTATGCCATATCTCAAATTGTAGATTAATGACATATATTGTGAATAATGAGGTATTTTTATTTCAAAATTCTGGGTTTTAAAAAGTGCCAAAAATGCAATTTTTCTTTAGCATTGTGTTATATGGAATTGTTCTAAAAATAGCATTTTTTTTTAAATATTAGGACAAGTTTCTCAAAAAATATAACTGTAGCACATAAAATAATGCTATTTCATTGTGTTAAGGGACAATAGCTTCATGATTGTACATAATAAACCAGTAAACATTGTCATGTGATTTATGACCAACTTTCTCAAAAATTATGATTAGGCTTCTACATGTACCTTAAGAAGATGGTTGTGGCAATGGCCCAGCAACTTAACTTGAAGCCTCTCATGAACATTATTGTCTTTCCTATCTCTGATTGGTCTTACATAGGTTTCCAGTGATGTCAATATTGCAGAACTACTCGAAGAATATGTTTATGATGATGCAGATGATGAAGATAGTCAAGTTTCTCATATTATGATGTATGAGTTGACCATTGACAGGTACATGTATTGTAGAACATTTTACCCATATTATCCATAATTACAAAAAGTCTATCATTTTTGATGCTAGATGTATAATAATGAATTATATTTTTATTATGATGTCATCATCTGATATCATTTGTTCATAGAGCTAGTAGATACAAGTGATGTCATGGGTAGTATTATCCATAAAACAAAGATTATACAGCCTATGGCACGTCAAAAAACAACCAGCTCTACGAATATGTGATATTAGGCAGATAACCTTTTTATCACATGACCAAATCAAAATGAGAAATTTTATGGAACTGCTTTTTACCTTGCCCGTACCATCAAAGATGGAAGGGAAAGGTATATTAAGGGAAAACATTTGTCCGCCATTGTCGTCGTCGTCGTTGTCGTTAAAATTGTTATTGTGTGCACAATAACTTTACTTATTACATATGTACTGCAGTTTATTTTGATTCGTCCCTGAAATCAAAATCGGTATTTCCACAACCCGTATGCAAATGAGGTCTGAGAGCAAACAAAGTAGTCCCTTCAGAAGTACCGTTTTTCAAAATAAACAATATTTATAAGTACGATATTTTTCCCTTGGGGTACATGAATATACTTTCCGAGTGAAATGAAATTTGAACAACAGTAATGGTACTTTTAGGCAGTCACTTATTTTGAGTCAAACTAATTTGCATATCACCCATGCAATAATGTTTTCGGTATTTTCACGGTCCATATGCAAATGAACATCAGTGTTCTCCCCAGAAAAATGTATCAGAGTGGCGGCTAATTTGCATATAATTTACATATCATTAGCATTTGTCTGAAGATAAAGAAAACAATAATGACAGGCTTGCATGGATGAAAATGTGTCTTTATTTTTTAACAAATTTATGTAGAAGATTAAATGAATCTGCTGCTGTGTGATTTCTATGTAATGTTGATTCTTCGGACTTTCATGGAAGCCCAGTGATCTGCAGCTTTTGAGAACGCCGTGATTTTCTTTGCTTCCCACTTCTATTAAATGACATGGCCTTCTTGTGCATCTCCGAGTGTGCGTGTTTATCGATAGCATATTTCGTAA